TCCGCCGGGCAACAAAAGTGATGCGATACCGCTCAATGCAACGTTCAACACAATCTGACCTTTGGATCTCAAAGCAGAAGACAACGCCCTCTAGACATACGTTTTACCGTTGCCGCCGTAACCATAAACGAAAAACATGCGGCCGTATGTACGGTAAACAGAGTCCATTATCGAGCCATAAACATTCCGCTGCTCATCAGTCATATTGGCAACCAACTCCTAGTTCTCAATAGTGAGTGCACGTCGATCGTAATTCAACTCGTCCATCACTAGTGTGTTCGTGGATGCCTCATTATGATCAAGATTAGGAAAAGGCATTATACTGTATTCGCGTAAGCTCGTACCACGTTTGCGCAAAATTTTTTCAACTTCCGCCAAGGCCAGATTTTTTACTTCATCATCGCTCAGTACCAATTCTGTAACACCAGTATACAAAGTTTATAAATATAAAGACAAAAGATGAAAAGAAAAAAAAATTGTGACAGTAATAGATTGACTAACCTGGGTGCTGTAAAACCCTCCGACGATTGTATAATATATCATCCGATAGGTAAGGCCAACATGATTCCCACACAAACTCTGGTCTACCGAGAGTATCAAAAGACAACAAAGTAGCAAAAAGGTTTCTCAACGAATTGGCACTCGACCACTGGCTTGCCTCGATAATCCCTTCAATATACTCTTTGTCGTCCTCCACCAGACCAAGAGAAAAACACGCGTCACGATATGAATCGTGTTATACTCCGTCTAACTTCATGTAGTCACGATGGCACGTTGCACCTCGAACAACGTTGATAGGACACCGCAAGTAATATATGTCACCAGCACCAGGGGGGACGAAGTACAAACGCACGATACGATTACTTCCTTTGCTAGGCTCCCAACTGTTGTACTTTCTTGGTGCTGTTTTGATGTTATGTGTTAAATGATTAAGTGCTAAATGATCATTTCTGATGTTTTTATTTCTTGGTGTTGTTTTGTTGTTATGAATAGAGTTAAAAACACTATTCTGATAGAGGTTTTTGCTTTAGACAACTTGTATAATCTGATGAAGTTAATTTCTTAATAATGGATCTGTTTTTGCT